TAAATATTTCTTCAAGTTACATTATTGTGGATTTTAGCAGGCTTCATGTTTAGCAGTGTTTAGTATTTGGGAGATTTTGGGGAGTCAATCGTCTGACTTATTTGAAGTGTGTTAGTTATCTATCCTGTGGCATAGCGTTCTGAACAGTAATAATTCCAAATTTCTTCTGGGTGTAAATGAAAGCAATACCTCAGATAGGTTTTTTGTTTGTTTTCCAAACTAAAGACAAATAGGACCTAGCAAAGCCAAGTTTAAAATATCTTTACAAGACAAATCAATGAGTCCTTTTCAAAGCAATCAGATCAGTGTCATCTCATCACAGGCTGGTGCAGAGATCCCAAGAGCAAGTGAAGGGAATTAAATTCCATGCAGAGTTTCAGACATAGCTTTCTTAAAACACAGGGAAATGCTTTCTGAAGGAGGCTAGTACTAATTGCTTACAGAAGAAACCACTCTGATACTGATACGAAGCCACTGGTAATCCTTTTGAAGAATTTTTGTGCTAATCCTCTTAAAGTTTCCATTGCTAAAAATTTTCCAAATAAGAGAAGGTTAGGGGTTAGGTTTATCAGTTCCAAAATCAATATTGACCAATACCAATGACATTTATACCATTTTTTGAATTTTTTTTTTTATTCTTTATCAATCATATAAAGTTGGTATCATGTTGGAAAGACTGACTCCATAGAGATGCTGCAGTTTCTACTGGACAGGAGGCTTACAAAAAAAAATTAAAGACCAACCCCTTCCTTTACTATAGGAGTTAGCAGAAGAGGAGCTCCATCTCACTTGCAGTTCTCCATTGAAAAAGACTGATACCTAAGCTCAGTTTCTGTGAAGCCAAATCAGAAAAGGTCTAGAGTAAACCAAACCCTTATGCTACTTACCTCAGCGACTTTCAGCTGAATTTTTATATGGCCACTATTCACAACTATGTTAGCCTTCACAATTTCATCATCATGCTAGCTTCTCAGCTTTTTTTCCCCACACTCTTTAAATTGAGGTTCTCCAACTAATGGAATTTCTGAGATAGCAGATGATTCTTAACGATGGAGTTCACATCAGTACTGCCATCACCCACTACTAATTTCTACACTCTCTCCTTCAGCACAATATAGATACCAAGATTATGAGATATCAGGTGCTGCAGTTGAAGAGCTTGATTGGCAGTAGCATATTTCACAGATTCTTGAGAAACTTGGGCAGAATATGATTATTTTCATTCTTATTGAAGTCATCCAGGAAGTGTTTATTCTAGGACTCTTGTTTCAGGCTTTTACTATATCTGGCATCAGATTTAATAGGTTAATCCTATTTAGTCCTTTGGTTTACTTCACGCAGACCTAGCATCTCTACTTTTAATTGCTTTGATGCTCTCTACTTAAATAATATAGAAAAATCATGCCCCCAAAATGTCCTGATTTTTCTTTTTTTTTGATAAATAGGAAGAAGACATCTCGTCCATTAATGAATGAGGAAGATAGGATTTTTCAACAATGTTAACTACTTCCATTCACAGCAATATTTCCTTTTCTAGACTATCTTCTTTCTAAAAATCTCTGGGTTGCTTAAATAAGTAAACTTAAATGCAGTTTAACCACTATGTCTGTACAGGGTCTTCTGTTTGAAATATTTTAATTTTTTTACAGTGATTACAGTATGTATTACTATCAATTAAAGAGCCTTCTCCAACATGGTTTTGTGCCACATTGTCTTCTGTTTTGATTTTCATGTCATATGTTTAGATTAGGACCTTTTTATGATTGGCTTATTTTTCACTATTTAAGAAGAGCAAGATAAATAAATGACATGATACCAGGATGGCCTGTTTCAGAAAGAAAAGCTCACTTCATCCTAGGCTTCTCATGAACACTGTATCAGAATGTCATGTTAATTAGTGTTATTGGCTGTTGTTTTTTTTTTTTTCAATTCAAATTACATGGCATGCTTGTAACTTAGCTGGAGCCTTTTTTTGCAGCAATCTTCAGGACTGCTGGTAGTATCAAAAAAGTAAAGGCACAGTAATTAGAGTTTGAAGATAAGCAAGAACATTTTTGGAGAATATTACATTATGTTGTTTGGCCAGCTAATCAAATTGTATCTGTGCACTTGAATGGTGGTGGTGGCTGCTTGCAAGTAATTCAGGTCTGGACACCTATAGGGTTTCTATTTGTTCCTTGGTATGTGTTTTTACAGAGCATTATGTCTTATGGCAATGCCTGTTCAAAAAGCATAGTTTTGAAGAAGCAGCATCATTTTCCCATCTGTGACTCTGAGACCCACTTGTGACACTTCCTGACCTCAGGACCAAGCATGCACCCTGTTATCTAGCTACAGGTGAGAGGGCTTTTTGTTTATTACATGTTACCATACAACACCCCTTCGTCTCCAGGGCAGTGTGCCTGCAATGAGGGTACACTCTGTTACCTTTGAAGGTGCTGGAAGTTGTGCTTAGAACCGGGATATTTGTTTAAGGGGAGCACTGCAGAGCAGATTCATGGCACCTTTTGTTGAGCAATGTTGTGTACCTTAAACCATTTTAAGGTATAGTGCAAAAAAAAAAAAATCGTGATTATCTAAAGCAAACAACGCAGTTAAAAATGTCTGTAATAGATGTAGATGAAAAAATGAAAAAATGAAAAAAATCCCACATCTATTTAATCTTGGCGTAGCTAGCTGGAATCAGAAAGCTCTACCCCTTATCCAGCTAGTGCATTAATTTAGGAAAAAGAGAACAGTGGTATTCTTGGAGAGGCGATTTTTGTATACATTTTACTATCTGTGCCTCTTCCCTATTATATCATTGTGTGTATATGACTGGGTTTTGATTGGTGAAGGAACTGAACTATGCCTTCAGTTGCTCCCTGTGCTTCTTTGTATTCCAAGTGGGTGACAGAAGGAAAGATAATTCAGGTAGTTATGGGAGCTGGGATGGCTGAGGAGCTGATCAGCTAAAGAATTCTACCTTCTAATGCTTGCCCCTGTGTGCTGACACTACCTCTTACAAAAAACTTCAAGCTGAGAATCTTCATATCTTTACAATTTCAAGGATAACTTGAAACTTATTTTCAATTCTAGAGGAGATTCTCAGTGATATTAATGAGGAGAGATCATAGAAATCTTGACTATATATATTTTAAAAGTTATTCGGATTTGTGCTTTAATTTAAGCATGTTCTTAAATGCTCTGTTGGGCTGGCATGAGGGCTTCTATGTGAGTGATTAAATTCTTTGTATTCTGTAAGTGTAGTAGCAAAATGTTTAATTTTAGGAGTATTAGTTATAAAAAGTATACAGAAAAGTGAAGAAATGCTGTAGGTACAGAACATACACTGCTCTGTACTAGACTTCTTACCCTGTGAAAGTGTTAGGGAATGCATGTGCAAAAATCAATTAAGTCTAGCAATTTAACAAATTACAAAAGATCTGTGATATTAGAAGAGTTCTGTGATTACAGGTTCTTGCATCTGTATGCCAGTGCTAAATACCTCACAACTTGAGGTTAAGAAAAAATTAAATCATATCCTGAGGGCTGAAGGGTGCTCTCATAGCATCAGTGTTCTCAGCTGGTTTGGAGTCCCCATGTGCGGAGGACAGCACTGCACCCCACTTACTGGGCTTGTTTGGGAGGACTCGTGGACTTCCTGAGCTCGTTTTACCAGATCATCAGAAATCTGCCCTGCATCCAACACTGCTGGAGACTTTTATCTTGGGGAGAGTGCCAAGAGCCAGCCAGAGAGCTCTCAAGTCTGCCTGTCAGAGTTCATTGTAACTTCAACCAAAGCTAGGAGGTTAATGGTCTCAAGTTAGTGTTTTAAAGCAGTTGGAAAAAACACCTACATGGAGGTCTAATGTGTGTGCATCATCAGCGTCAACTGATTTGTAGTAACCCTTCTGAGCACACTAAGGCAAAGATAAATGCAGGCTTTGCTTGTTAGGTGATGTTTGTTAAAGGAATTTCAAGATTCTTTAAAGCTTGTCATATAATTAGGATTTACCAGCTTGTTTAGAGGTACTCTTAGTTCTTCAGGTAATTGATGAAAGAAAGTACAGTGTTTCAGCAGAAAGCATATTGCAATTGCAGCAGTCCATTTATTTTTTCAGTCCATTTACTGATGAATTTGCAGTTCTCATTTCAGTTTAGTTGAAGTAATAGTAAATAGAGGATAGAGTTTATCTCCATCCAGAATGTTGTAACACAGTAATAATAGCAGGCGTATTTGTTCTCATCAGCTTGGCTTCCATTTTGTTATTAATGGCAGTAAAATCTACAGTCTGCAATTAATCATTTGGAAGTAACAGTAGTGTAGCAGCTTGTTTAGTTTAATTTCAGTTTATTGGATTTTAAATTAACATTGTTGTTGGTTTGGGTTTGTTTATACTTGCCATGGCCATGATCTTGATTTTTCATTACAAGATTCAAGTATTAAATGTTTACTGTAAGTTCTGTCATTGCTTTTGAAGGAAGTATGTCAAAAGGGAAACATAGCCACTTTGAACCTGTGTACAATTTCTGTGAACTTTTCTCTTACAGTAAGTATTTACAGCAGTATTTTCAGTTGCCAGTAACACCGTTGGGAAGAAAATAATGTGCATAAATCATTTTCAAACCATCTGAGGTGGTGATTGGGCTGGGCTAGAGCTCCCCAGCATGCACTTTCTCATAACCTGCTCTTTACACCCACTACATGGTATGGCGTTTGCATTTTATGATGCTGCGAGAATTCTAAGTAGTAAAAATATTGCATTCTTTAGAGCAGCACTTGCCTAACCTGTGCTGCTGAACTTAGTGTCTTGGCAGAGCAGAAGTAGCTACGGCTTTGAGGAACAAGAGGTGAATAATATACAGTGTAATTATTTGTTTTAAAATAATACTCTTTTATCTTTGATGCATGAAGTAGTTAGCTGGTATGATTAGGTCACATTCAAGCAATATTATTTAGATCTTAGTCTAAGTTGTTTTTTTTTCTTTTTTCTTTTTCTCCCCCCGCCCCGCCCCAGTTTGTAAGACTTGTATTGTTCAACACTTTGAAGACAGCAATGACTGTCCCAGGTGTGGCAACCAAGTGCATGAGACCAATCCACTAGAAATGTTAAGGTAAGATGACATTGCACAACATTTGCTGAAACAAAAGAACAAAAAATAAAATAAAAAGAAATTATCTTTATCCTGAAAGGAAATTAATTTTTTGGCTTATTTGTATAATACATATATCAACTGTTCTTGGCCATAGAGTTCGTCATTTTCTCATCTCCCAATAAATTGTAAAGTGAATTTTTTCAGATATAATAAAAGGAGGAAAGATAAGAGAAAGACACAGAAAGACTGGGTGTGTTGTACAAATTAAAATAAACATTTTAATATTTCTATTAAACAAATCAATGAACCAGATACTTTTTATTCTTTACATGAAATTAAATTCTAGAGTTTCTTTTTTCAAATGATTTAAGGCATCCCAAACTGCATGCAACTTTTTTTCGTCTTAGAGCAATGTAGAAAGTGAATCGTACAAATAACTTAATGTTTTCCAGGGTTTAGATCTACCAATCTGAATTGAAATCTGTTGTCAAATTAATGAAAATACATTCATGAAAGAAAGTTTTGACACTAAAAATACCCTTTCTTGAGAGTTTGCTTTTTTTATATCACAATAACACCTTTTTTTTTTGACAATTATTTTTCTTGAAATTCTGGATTTCCTTTTAGCAATACTATGTTGAAACAAAGGTGACAGCCATCCTACAAGTATAGTACAGAGAAATTGAGAAACATCATCATAAGTGGAAGAACTTCATGTTTTCCTAAAATGACGAAGCTACTCTCTGCCCTTACTCTCAACATTCCCTCCACCCTCCCACCCCCTTCAATATTATTAGTTTGTAATACTGTTGTGAATTTAGGAAGAAATATTCTTACATCAATATTAAAATACATATTTACATCTGGTATTTATTTAGGGTTGGTATTATTTCCTAATGTCATTGTGTTTGCTACAATTTGTCATATTCTGCTTTGATTTTTTGACTGATATGTGTGTGCATAGCAATTCTCATGCTTCAGTTATATATGAAGAGGATAGATGAGAGAGATTAAATTCAGCAACTGTAAACAGTGTTATTAGCCTAAGTTTTTATCATCTGAATGTTTTTTTGGAAGGTTAGGGTTAAAGGGTTCATGTAGATGTTTACTGTAATGTAAACATCTGTTTAATAAAATTAAAAATAATGTTAATCAAGTATTTTTCTGATCTCCTGTCAGCATCTGAGATGCTGTGTCAGCTGTAACAGAATATGCTATACAGAGTGCATAAGGCTACTAATAAGTTGAAACCAAAAGCATTTGAGAAATATATCTTTTATTCTGACAGGAACTTTTCATAGGAGCTGAAAAATTCATTTTCTGAAACTTCTAGTAGATGTTTAGTAAAGGAATACTATGCTTTAAGCAGGAAATGATAGAAGGGTGAGAAAAGTTGAGACCACAAGACACAAATGTGGGAAGAGCTATTTTCTCTGCAATTATTTCCTGAAACTACTTTTAGAGTCACTGGGTTTATTTGCCAACAGACTGCATATAGCTAGTAGTTTGCTGGTTGTATTTTATGAAACAGTTTTAAACATTTGCTAAACTAACGATCAGAAAAGCACGTGAGCAGTGCAATGGAATTATCTTTTTTGGATGTTGCCTGCTTAACTTAATACATGTTTTATACTCTGACTGTAGAGACTAGCCCCATCATTACTCGAGAATGCAGTCATTTTCTGAGAAATGGCATTGGACACTCTATCTCAAAGATCTCAGTTAAAAATACTATCTAAACTACTTTATAAACTCAGTTCTGAATAACTTCATAACTATGCAAGGTGTTTGGACGTATCTTTTAGTTGGCAGCACTTAGGGTCTGTTGAAACTATAAGCCTAAGCCTGAAATTCAACATTGAGCTCTAAAATTAAAATCTAGGAAGAATGTTAAATTCTAGAATTCCCTTTCCTGATTTAGCAGAATTCTGCATCATGACTATTCAATAGGGTCTGCATTGGTTATACCATGAATGCAGCCTTCTTTTTTTCTTGGTAGCATGCTTCTTTGGATGCATTTTTTCCTGAGTCATAGTCTTTGTTTGCTTCACTTCAGATAATTAGCAATTATCAGAGAATAACTTTGCTTTTATAACTCATTCAATATTATAGAAGAGGTGAAAAAGAATATGAAGCTGACATAAGTGCTTGGTTCTTCTTTCTATACATTATGGTTTGGAGGTTGGAAGATGTGGGGGTGGAAAGAGGTGTGTCTAAAATATCAGTGTTCTTGTTTCAGCATTAACAGGAAATATATTAAATGACTGAGACCAACTTTGGAGTTATGTCAAGTAGTAAGTAGTTCCATTTTGGAATGAGTTTGATGCAAGTCATTAGAAATACAGATCTTTGGTAGAGTTCTCATAGGCGTGGATAATGGGAACACCGTAAGATGCATCTGAAATTGAGAATCTTTTTATAATTTTCTATTTTTTTTTCCTATAGTTTAAGTAGTTTAATTTCCCTGTACTTAAAGATCAAATAAGGGGGGGGGGGTTGCATTTTTTACGGTATTGATTAGTATTTACGCTTCATAAGGATGAAATAGCTCTTTTTGTTTAGTTTTGGAAACAAAATAAAGTCATTGACTGGAGTATGAAGCCAGTTCTTGCTGCTAGCATCGTGAATTTGCTGAGTATACTGTTTTTCTTGCTATGTTAGCATTACCAGTGACTTTTGTTTTGAGCCATTGAAGATGAATTAGAAAGTGCTAAGTGGGAATTTTCAAAAATACATGCTGTTTATTCTACATTTATTATACCATCCTGAGGAATGGTTAGTGGGATTTTGAATTAAGATGGTGATGTTCTCTTTTGAAGTCCTTATTTCTTTTCTTGTAATGAGTAAGTTATGAAGATTGGAGCTTTCTTACAATGTGAAATGAATTCCATTTCCAAGACAGGTTCCCAAGTTCCCAGTGCTCTACCGTGGGAACTTCATAGAAAGCCATACTGTCTAGTTGCATTAGATGCTGATAGGAGAGACTAGAAGAGATAACATACCGTTTGGAAAGGTAAACCTATATTGTCATCTATCAGAAACTAAGTGCTCAGACATGCCGTGATTTTGGTTTCCTTCTTATCTGTGAGAAAGTAGGCCCTATGCTTCATTGTTTTAGGGGAGGTCTGTTTTACTTGCTGAAGATCTTTTTTTTTTTTTGTCCTTATAAGAAGCAGCAATTAAAAAATGGGTCACGGTTGTAACTTAAACATGAATATTATGTCTTCATGAACTGATGCATAACACAGGGAACTAGTCTCAGAACAAGATGATTGGGTAATAGTAAACTTTCAATTACAAGTACAAATCCTGTAAAGAAGAGAACCTGGAATGCTCACATATTTATTATAAGAAGATAATTGTTATCTATTAAAATGGCTCTTTGGCATTCCTCAACAATAAAATCATTCAGTCTTCTTCCTACTTTGGTGCTGCTAGTGAACAAAAGATAGAGAACAGTTATAAGTTTTATAAAAGGCCTATAGCATATTATTAATAACGTGTATATATGCAAATACATACGTATACATAGAGATATATATCATTATTGAGATGAAAAATTAAGGCAATTAAAAATATACCAAAGGCAATTATTGTATTGTAGCTTCTGACTGAATCTCAAGGTACTTAATTTCTCTGGCTATATTACTTAGTATTTCATTTTGTCATGGGTTTTTGTTTAGGCTGTGGACAGTGGGAGTTACTGTTCACCAGAGAAGATGTAGAGGGCAGAGGAGAGAAAGGAAAAGGAAACAGAATGAGAGACAGAGGAAACCGAAGGAGAAGTAAGGCAGGGAGAGGAAGTGGAACTAGAAAGCAGATGATAAGTTAAATGGTTAGGAGAGGAGGTAAAATTCAGAGAAAAGGGAAGAAAAATATTTTAGCTTCAGCAACAAAAGTAAATGCACTGTGTCCTCTGCAAAGGACTGTAATAGCTATTTCTGGCACGAATACCAGGATATCAGAGGACATCTGTGATTCTGTGACATGCCTGTGCTGCATACTGTTGTCTGGTAGACAAACTCATGGCAGATTTAAATAGTTTAAATGAATTATGTTGGGTACTGAGAACTGTCTAGCCAGAGCAGCATGGATGCTCTGTGGTCTTTATCCTGCCAAGACTGGTTAGTCTGTGTTGTAATGAGTAGGGAATGGTCTGTTCGGTTTTTCATAACAGCCTTATTACCAAAGCAATTGAACACTTAATATGATAATGAAGTTTATAATTTTCATGCTTACTATTCATGACCTGGCCCTTAAAATTGGATACTACTTTTCCAGTTGGAACCTTTTAGTAACACAATAGTTTGCATGTAACACAAATTAAAAAAATTACAATTTTAGAGTATAATGTTTTTTCTCATTTGTTTCATTTTTGTCTTTATACATTAAAAATAAATTCCTTGGTTATTTCTAAAAGAAATCCATTCAAGAGGTGGTTGAGATAAGCTTTAATGCATGTTGTCTCTCAAGCTAAAATCAATTGGTTTTTGCAGGATGCATTATTTACCAGAAATATGCGATTCATTTTATTACTCAAAAGTTTTTGTTGTTCAAAGGCTAAAAATATTTAAAATGCTAGTTTCTACTTCATGTGAAATATATTTTTTCCCTTTGAAAGGCTGGATAACACCTTAGAGGAAATTATATTTAAGTTGGTGCCTGGACTTCGAGAACGTAAGTTTCCTATTTGGTTTTGGGTACCTGTTGGGGTTGATGGAGGGAATATAGCTATTTCTAATGGTATACTGTTCTTTGATGTTAACTAGAGGAACTGCAGCGAGAGATTGAATTTTGGAAGAAAAACAAACCTCAAGAAAATGGACAAGGTGATGATTTTTTTTTTTTCCCCTCTATCATCTGTATGTTGCTCATTAAGCGCTGTTTCTTCAAACATTTATGCATGTACATTGTTTTTACTGAATTCAAAGATAGTACAGAAACTAGTAACAAATCTGTGTAAATGTAGTCTGGGCCTTCATGTATTGCTTCTTATCTATTAACCAGTTGTTTTACAAACACTAGCTGTTTTACCGTTATTTTTATTTGCATTTCCCTAAGCTCTCACTTTCATCACTCCTGCGATTTTCCACTTGAATTCTTGATTTTCTTAATACAGCAGGATGCAGAACTACTTGAGTTTTTTACAGATTATTTTCTGTTACTGAATTTGACCAGCTGTTAAGTAGGAGGTTGTCAAGAGTTAGTTATGACATGTAGTAAAACAGTTTTCCACACATCCTAAACAATTGTTTTATATAGATTCCAAAATGCTTTTTCTTTTTTTTTATTTCTTTTTTTTTTGTTGTAGTTGACCCATGAACTTTGAGAGCTCAACATTGAGGTGCTAAGTGAGGACTACATCCAACTGTTTTTATGCCCCTTTAATTTGACATCAAGGTTTTGATACCATAGCCTATTTGATTTGGGCATTTTAATGAATTTTTGAAAGGCTCTGATAAGCTAGAGAAATGGCTATTTTTAGCAAAGGATCATTGTCAAGTAAACATCTTGCAATACTCTTCTTCACTCAATTGTGTATAATATCTTATTTTCAACTTCGTAACATTTCATTTTCTTTCTCACTAGTTTTGTTGATTTGCATTTGGCATCCATTATAAGGGACAAGGTTCTTTTCTCTGTTACGTAATTGCGAGACAGTTTAGATTAAATTATATTAGTTTACTACAGCAAGCTGTGTAGTGTATACCTATTCAGTTTTAAAAATACTTAGAAAATATTTTTTTGAAATATAGGCATTTGTTGACTGTTTAGAAAACAATTTTCTGCTATATACATAGAAAAAAATAACATATAATTTGCAAATTTGAGGAATGTAACTTACTTTTAACCAGTTTATTCTTCTGGTTCTTACTTTCCTCCCATAATTTAATGGTAAACCTGATGGAGATCAGTTACTAACTGTAATGAGTGATTGGATTGTTTTGTGAATCACAGGAAGGCTCTAACTCTCAAAATACACTTTTAAGTAGCTACAGATGATTCCAGCTCTGTTAGTGACTGTATCCTTTGACTATGGAAATTTGGCTCTCTAAACCATTCAAAAGTCGTGACAACTCATTGAGACAAATTAAGATCATTTACACTTTTTTTTGCCATAAACAAGCATTTAGAATCTTGCCTGAGAATAAATTATTTGATGAGAATATTTCAGTAAGAAGAGTCTGTCTTGGTTGTCAATACCATGCCCTGCAATCACATCAGCCTAGTTTAAAAGAGTCCGTCAGTTATGTCCTGTATCACAGGTCACAACACAGTTCCCAAACTTAGCATCTAAGATGTGTAAAAAAAATCCCAGGACTTAAAATTTTCACATACCAGGAGAAAAAAAACAAACAAACAACAAAGCATATCTCAGGCATTGGTGACTCCACTAGGAGAGTGGTTACTGGAGAGAATTGATGGATGATGATAGGAAACATACTGTGGTACAGAGAAAAAAATCTGTATTGGTCCTCTTCAATCTGAACTGAAGAAGGAAGAGGGCAAACAGCTTTACATTGACTCAGTCTCTGGCAATCAGTTTGATGCTGAATATCTGAGAAAAGCATAGGAAGTATACAATTTCCAAGATTTGCAAGAAAGATGAGGGGAAAAAAGAATGGGACACCAATTTACTCCTTA